ATTGGTTGAATCTTGTGATGACCAGACATTTGAGACATTGATTGGTTGAAACGTGTGATGACCAGACATTTGAGACATTGATTGGTTGAATCGTGTGATGACCAGACATTTGAGACATTGATTGGTTGAATCTTGTGATGACCAGACATTTGAGACATTGATTGGTTGAAACGTGTGATGACCAGACATTTGAGACATTGATTGGTTGAATCGTGTGATGACCAGACATTTGAGACATTGATTGGTTGAATCTTGTGATGACCAGACATTTGAGACATTGATTGGTTTTCTTTTGTTTCGTCTTTTCAGAGATGTATCCTGAGAGAAAACATCAAAATCTGTCCTTGGTGCTTCACTGGAGTCCAAATAGAAAGTTTCGATGAATCTTTTGACGTAATCAAAAGTATCGTGCGAGAATAACTTTGGAAAAACCCGGTTGTCAGCCGGCAAGCAAAGCGAGAGAGAGAGAGAACATTATGGCGGCGTTCGGCCTTGACTTTGGTGACCTAGTTCCCAGCGAGGACTGGGAGCTCAATGTCCTCCTGCTGGAGATTGCTAAAGGGCTGAGCGAGGAGGAGTTCTGCAAGATCAAATTTCTCTGCTCAGGTGAGTTCCTAGAAGCTACAGTTGTACCCATCTCTTACCTCTAACTGTTGTACTATCCTCTTATCTCTAACTGGTGTACTATCCTATTACCTCTAACTGTTGTACTCATCTCTAATCTCTAACTGTTGTACTCATCTCTTACCTGTAACTGTTGTACTCATCTCTTACCTCTAACTGTTGTACTGTCCTCTTATCTCTAACTGTTGTACTCATCTCTTACCTCTAACTGTTGTACTCATCTCTTACCTCTAACTGTTGTACTCATCTCTTACCTCTAACTGTTGTACTATCCTCTTACCTCTAACTGTTGTACTATCCTCTTGTCTTACCTCGAAGTGTACAGCGAGCAAATAGTTCAGAGAAGCAGCGTGGATGGTGTTGGCGAGTACTCTGGTGTGGTTTGCCCCCTCTTTCCTATAAAACATATATCGTCTTGATCTCTCCTCCTTTTTTTATGTCTGTTACTCTCTTGCAACACCTTTAATCTTCCGCACTTTTATGACCTAACTGTGTTGCAAGTGCCGTAAAACTGTAACTAAAGGAGAAGCTACTGTTTTACTATTCTCTTACCTCTAAGCATACCGCGAGTTAGATCCACGAGTGCGCAGAATGGCTCTTAATTTAGCAAGGTTTTACGGCGCTCGCAACTGTAAAAGGCCATATGAGCGCCAAGGGGTGGATGTCAACAGAGAAGTCCAAACGGGGAATCGGGCTTACTCTGCTCACCTCTCTAGCCTCTACAGCACAAAGTCTGCTTTGACTATCAAGGCAGCCCGGAAAATGCAGTTCACAAGAGAGTGACAAACATTCAAAAGAAGTAGAGGAACATTTCGATAGTTGTTCCAGCACAGTATGAGCATGACATTGATAAATCAGCCCATTTAAAGTTCTACTGTGCATAAGAACTCGCTAATATCTCCCCTTTGGGACAACAGAACATTGCTAGACAGCAGGAAAGGAGGTGAAAGGAGACAATTTTAAGGAACATTTTTCCGTCGCTACCCAGATTCGAACCCGGAACCTATAGAATGAGAGGCGAACACCCTAACCTCTAGGCCACATGTTTGCCTCGCTATGCCAACTCATGCAGTGTATAACATCCACATGGGTCGGCCAGAAATACAGGAAAAGAAAGGTTGCCATGGAGATTTTCCTGAGGTTTTACTGTCGTGAAACAAACCTTGGTGTGTTCGTTGAAGTTTGTTGTTGTTGTTGGGTTTTTCTTCCGAAAGCCGCTTTTCGTATCATGATGCTGCAAGAATAATAAAATTTTTTTTTTGTGGAAATGGTGATAAGCAAGGAATTGCCACAATGCATGCGCGTGCATACGTAAACAAGGGAGAGTGTCGTGAAACAGGAGTGCCACTTACAGCTCGCGCGTCATGAGATGAAGTGTGTTTTCCTGTCTATCGGTGTTTCTGAGCCGCTTTATCGTACCACTGCCCTCGGGGAATTCTCGTATATATTTTCTTATATTGTTCGTAAATCTTTCTACAGCTTCCTATTATTTCCTACTGGCCACAACTGCGCAGTTTTGGGGACACTCCAATCTCTGGGATCTGAATTCCCGATTTGAATTTG